GTTGATGCATCAGGCCCTGGAACGCTCAGACAATGTAATACAATTGCGCTTTCCGATCTCGGAGACACAGAAGGATTCGGTAAACCCGGTACCGATGGTAAGTTATACGCTTTACACTTACAGGATAATGTATACAAGCGGAAAGAAGTTACATTCACTGGTAATCTAGAAGATTTAAGCGATGTCGACGTTGTTAGTAAACTCCTTAAGAAAAACACTTCGTACAATCTTACTCGCAATGACGATAAAAAATGGACTATGGTCGAAGCAAACATCGAGTGGCTATTGAATATTGTCATTACCCCACCGTATGTGATGATGGGTAAGGCACATAATTTAACTAAGATAATAAATAGTGGCATCGTACTCGCGGCTTATATCCCATCAAAACGAAAAAGTGTGTTAGTCTCTCCCCTGCCAGAAAACCCAGGTCATATGTTATATAGTCGTCCGGCAATCCAAAACGTTAGTTTAAATTTGGTTACTGAATTCAATGAAATTAAAGTTAACTTCAGTGCAATACCTAATCTTTCTACGTCTTGTTCGGAGATACAGCGGTAGATGCCTTCAAAATATTACCAGGTCTATCGATTAAATGGCTCAAGAAACACGAGCGTCAACGTTGCAGTATCATTCATATCGGAGCATCGCCCGTTGCAACTCTCGAGGGGGTCCAAATTATTAAAATTGGTAGTATTTCTCTTACTAAGATATTCATGCCGTATAATATTCATTTGATAAGGTTGATGTATACTCTCAAAACATTTAAGCAAGACCAATTAAAGACTATTATATGATCGTAATATACACTATGAGTTTATATCCGGCGCTCGATGAGGCATTTGAAAAGATGGATACTGTTGATGGATTTCGATTACATCAAATAAGCGACATAAAACATAGAATAGAGAAGGATAGGGAGTTGAGACTTGGATTGTATAAAAAGTATCACAGAGCCGTGAATGCTCTGGACGGAGTTGACACCGCGCTTGTAGCAGCTGGCATGGGACTCGACGTAGCAGGTATTGGTTTACTATCAACTTTAATTGCCGCGCCTATCGTGCTCGGCATGAAAATAGCCGCTGGAGTCTCGGGACTGGCAGGAATTAATTTCTCATAGGTTACAAAAGAAAGCATTAAAACACGATAGTATTCGGATACTCGCCGAAGCAAAGTTGAACAGCATTGACGATCATATTTCGACAGCAATGGTCGATTGTAAGATATCCGAGGATGAGTTTCGTTTAGTGTTGTCAGAACTCACCAAATACAACGCAATGAAGCAGGATATTCGATCAAAATCTCGTAAGACCAATGGTATTAGCGAAGACGAGAAAAAACAGTTCATAGAACAGGGGAGGCAACAAGCGCGTCAATTATTCTGTGCCAAAACCAAAGATCTGGTTGGAGATTAAAAATAGATTGCTTACTATCGTTAGATCACATTTAGACAAAAGCATACATAAATATATATATAATAATGGAGACAACAATCGAAAAAGCTATTAAATGGAGTGAATTACCACAAGGTTTTTATTATATCAGTGATGTCAAACCAACCAAATACGGTTATCAATTGTTTCTTATCAATTTACAAGAAGAGTGTAATTATATAGTCTGGTCTCCTAGTAAAATGAACGAAGAACTTAATAAAAATGTTGAATATCGCTTTATTGATAAAAATAATAAAGAATATTTTTATTACCATTTAGGCTCATCTAAAGCAATGATTGGCCCCAGGTATTGGTGAGCTAGAGCCAATTTAACTTAATCTCATGACTATCATTGAATCACATAATCATTTTGGCATAAAAAATTCCATCTGTAGTAGCAGTATAGGTATATGAATCCAGCTCCAGTGGAGTAACAACAAGTAACATCTGTTAACGTCTATTGGTATGATACGGCCCCCGGGGGGACGCTCTACCACCAGACCATGGAGGCGGTCGCCGTCTCATGAGGATCGGTGGTTACAATCAAGCTGAAAGTGTCATCGAACAAAGGCGATATGGATGATTTTCATGGAGTCATCCCTTTGCTTTCTTGGATCAGATTCAAATATTTACAGCCACCATGACATTGCTTTAATACTGTAATAAGACCGCGACGTGAAGCAACACACACTCATCTACCTGGTAGGGTATCCTGGCCATCCGGAGGTAGGTCTCCAGCTTCACAGCAAATGGCGTCATTGTGTGGGCATAGGGAGCTCTACCGACCTGATGGAGGATCACTGTGTCTCGGGGATAGTCCTTCCTTGTCTTTCTATTAAATAGATCAATGCATAGCTAGGGGTTGTCTGATACATTGTCAGATCTCATTTTAAGTTGACATCAACTTTAAAACATGCACATTGAACACATCTGTGGTTACTGTTTCAGAGGCCGGTGTGCTTAACACTGTGCTGCCCACAACTTAGCACGATTCGAACATTCATTATACTGATACCAACTGAAATGTTCACTGTATATGCCTGTGTCATGATGTTGTAATCAGAAATGCAGATCACAATGGTAAGAAATGAAAAGCTGTCCGAACTATTACTTGTCAGAGGAGAATATCATAAATATCAGCATCTGAACCTGAAGCTATTGACACACCGAATGCAAACTGGTATCCTTAATCATACAATAAATATAGTCTCTAACAGACTCCAGCATGTGTTTTATGAAACAATCCAATTTCCACCCCCCTTCAGCTCCTCAAGGATTCCCCCTCCCCCAAAATAGAAATGAATATGAAAATGTTCGCTGGACCGCAAAACAAGAGATTGTTCAGCTCAGTCTTCCACAGACATCTTCCCGAGGCAAGAGAGTTAACTGACTATAAAGGTCCAGTTTCCACCCTTGCCGAACTAGGCTGGTATTATGGAGTTACATTTTGGCTGGACTAACAAGTCTATGCATAGTCCAATCCAAATCGCGCAACGAAATCGAAATCCGGTTCGTGAACTGTCGTGCAGATTTCGGTCGAGCGCAGGATTTGCAAAGCATGTGCACCGCCAAATCGTTGTCAGCAGATATTTTCCACATCTTTTCATGTTTTTAATTAAGGTTGTCACGTTATTTGATGCATTTCGCGATGTAAGACCCGTTTTATCACAATATAGATCTTGATTATCGAGCAGATTGCCCTGACTGGGCGCCACCATTTTGTCTGAAGCAAACGCAAGTGATACCAGAGGTAGTATCTGATAGGTCCATAGAAGTTAAGAAGGGAAATAACTGGTAATAGCCACGATCGAACCCAGTAATTCCAGCCTAGTTCGGCAAGGGTGGAAACTTGACTTTTAAAGTCCGTTAACTCTTTTGCCTCGGGAAGATGTCCACAGAGAAATAATATGTATTATGAAGCAGTGGTACCGAATACATATCCTGTCCCTTACGCGTCCTTAACATATCGAAAGGTACTGCATCACTTAAATGAAGATTAATTCCGTTTCTAGTCTTAGGAATAATTAATCATTGATAACCTTTATCAGGCACATCTGATTCATATACTTTGTGTAGAGTTATAATTGAATAGGTATTATGCCAACACAACTACAGCTATAAAAACACCCTGGAACTGAGGTTAATCTGTAATTACTACCTTGTTCCACCGTGTGTGATACACCAGTCCCAGTCGGGCCAAAATGTTTCATTCATACGTTCAAAGTAGGTGCCAGTTTGGGATGTTTGTCTGAGAGAGGAAAGCGAAAAGAAAGAGCATGATCAGTTACTTTTACGAAACAAACAATTTAATTAATTTGTATGTAAATTAGTGCAGAATATTTGTAAACTTCATACATGTAACAATGAACCGTCAACCGATTGAGGGTGAGGTTAAATCATGGCTAGATGCTGAGGTTTCTGAGTCGACTTTCGTTTTACTCATCCTTCTACTTGACACACACGCTGATTCTGTTTCCCATGCTCTAAGGCTCTAGAATAGTCCTCTACGTTATTACAAAGAGGGGCGGTCGGGTAGCCTAGTGGTTAAAGCGTTCGCTCGTCACGCAAAAGCCCCGGGTTCGATTCCCGACATGGGTACAATGTGTGAAGCCCGTTACTGGTGTCCCCCAAACGTGATATTGCTGGAATATCGCTAAAAGCGGCGTAAAACCATACTCACTCACCCACCACAAAGAGCATGCCTGGGGTATGACGTCATCGGTTTTAATTGCATTAAATAAAATCAGAAAAGAAAATGTGTACAAAAACAAATAATTGTTTTAAAGACTCTCGACCATTACCTACACCTGAACACAGTGTGTTAGTGACATAGTATTTCAGTGAGTGGTTTAACGCAGCTTTGAACACTATTGTCAACTGAGACTTTTACGACTTTGGTGAAACCCACCAGCACGGTGCTGACATACCTGGAACCATAATCAGGACGAACCAGGATTCAAACCCACGATCACAGGTTCCTGGCACGCATAAGGGACGTAACTCTGTTCAGCGAATTCCGGCGCCTTAGAATGCACGGCAACCCGTGTTCTGCGTGACCCAACCTTAACCCGGTCTAGTTTGTATGATACTTATTGATGGCGAACAGATTTCATAATCTTCTCATGAATTTCTCACACGCCTGAGGGCGGCAATTCTGCACAGTGTATCGGGTGCCTTAAACAAATGACTGAGCTGTCAATGATCAATGCCCCCGAACGTGCGTGTTAGAGACCCGGGTTCGGTTCCCCAAATGGATGATTAAAATGGCTAAACACCATAGCTGGAAAAATGCTTAAAACGCCTAACTTCCAAATAAGTTATATCTAAACAAATTGTAAATAAAATAGTTTTGTATTTGAAGCTGAAGTTGAGAATATATATATATATACCCCAATTTCAACAAAAAACATGATATATATATATATATATATATATATATATCTATAACACAACAAACTCCACATAATTCATATCATATTTTTTTCATTTATTATTATACCAAACTATAACAATATGAATATTAAAATACATCACATCAGAGGATGAAAGGATTAAAACCCCTAATGATTTCCAATATACATGATATTTAGCATTCGCTACCATTTTCCTCTAATAATAAACTGTTATCATTGGTATCCCCAAGCACCAATACTCAACATGCTCACTGCCATTGTCCATGTGGTCATACACGGTGATTGTTAAAATCACACATCCTATCTACACTCAGACAACATGACAGTATATTTTATTACAATGCCCCCGTTACCTGTTAAGATTCCGGGATAGGATAGGTCTTCAGCAACCCAAACCTTCCGTAAAAGGCCACCATGCTTGTCGTAAAATGCGACTTACGGGATCGAGTGGTCAGGCTCCCTGACTTGGTTGATACAAGTCATCGATCCCAATTGCCAGGATCGATGCTCAGGCTCGATTATTTTACAGACCGCCGTCGTATAGCTGGAATATTGCTGAGTGTGGCGTTAAAACAACAAACAAACAAACAATACCCCCGTATAATTAGTAGTAAAGAGTGAAAAGGGTCCACCACCAAACTTCCTCTTATTGATTCTTACAAAAACAAGAAAAGTTGGGGTATGGGGAAATGTCTCACTTTGAGTGGGGACTTGTGTAAGTAAATGTTAATATATAGCCGTCCTTTAGTAACTCAATATTATGGATCACATCACATGGTTTCATTATTAGGAAACGAACGATCAGTCACTGTGTTATCTCACTTTACTTGGTTGCCTCCCTTGTTCCGCCGTGTGTGATGCACTGGTCCCAGTCAGGCCAGAATGCGTCCTTCATACGTTCACAGTAGCTGGCCAAGTTGGGATATCTATCTAGGGGATAATAAGAGGTTATCAATAACTTTGTTCCACAAAGACCATCACACGTATGTTTTGATGTGAACTTCGAACAGACAATACCAACCAGAGTTTTAAAGCAAAATATATAATAATATCAAAAGGTAAACATTCACTGAACATCGTCTAAGGAGTCCCAAGTTGCTGAATTTCATTCCTCAGTTGTGCCATGATCCCATAACCTGGGTCCGGAGCCTGTTTCGCAGCACCTTACCTTCAGGCTTTCCTCTCACATTAAGCTGACATGTCGTGTTATAACTGGAATGATGTTTACAGCGGCGTAAAACACAACTCACTCACCCTTTCCTAAGGGATACATTCGATCACATACTTATATTAATACCATTGTATACCTGTTGTCTGTGTGTTACCTTTTATGAGATTCTCGTATCCAGATCCATAAAACTGCCAGTATGTCTGCGACAGCATACCGAACACCGAGCAGTCTGCTTCACTGGGCTCATCCCCCATCAGGAACCTCTTCCTCCCTGGTGAACAGAATGTTGCTCCAATAAATAATTGTCCTGGTACCTTCAGCTACGCGATATTGTAAGGGCTGAACATGTATAAGTTATGTAATAAAGGAAAAAATAAAAATGTTAACCTTGTGGGGATTCCCTTCATGACTTCAACGCAACATCGATGACAAAAGGTCCTCAATATTTGTGGCCACTGTGGCTTACAGATTTTTGTCGCAAACTGTTGATGGATTGACCATTTTCACAAACGTGGTCGACGTAGAGTAAAAGTTTGAATATATATTTTTAAGGGATTTCTAAATCAATTTTCCATCCGGTTAGGGGTGATTGGCAAGTTCATGGTATAAACAAAACATTCCTTTGTTTGTTTGTTTGTTGTTTAACGCCGCCCTCTGCAATATTCCAGCTTTCTAACTACGATCAGTAAATATCGAGTCTGGACCAGACAATCCAGTTATTGACACCAGGAGCATCGATCTACGCAAATGTGATACGATGACATGCATCAACCAAGTAAGTGAGCGTGTCGCGTTAGTCGCCTCTTACAACAAGCAATGTTGTCTTTTACGGAAAGCATGGGTTGCTGCAGACCTATTCTAACCCGGGTCAAAAACATCCTAAGCATGACAATATCTCACCCATGAGAATCCCTACCATTCTGGGCCCATGAGCGATTAACTCGCCGAAGGCGAAGCAATTTCCTGCCAGAATTACGTCACCTAGGAGTGCTCGGAGGCTTTGATCGTGGGTTCGAATCCAAGATTTGCTCAGATAATGTTGCTTGGTTTCTCTGCACTATACCCGTGCTCATGGGTGTTACCAAAGTGTATCAATTAAGGCTTTGCCCTCAAAGGAACGCAAGCTGACATAGAGTTGTTTTTTTCTATTTTAAGGCTTAACTCGGCAAAGTTCCACCTATAGACGGCGGTCTATGAATAATCGAATCTGGACCAGACAATCTAGTGGTTGATAGTGCGAGGAATGATCCACGCCGTCAGAGTACGGTGACATACTATCAACCAAGTCACCGAACTTACCACCAGATTCATTTGGACGCCTCTTACGACCTGCATAGGAGACCTATATTGGCAGGAATCTATCCACGACAATATACGCGGTTACTGAAATATTGTTCAAAGAGACGCTTCAACGACGTACCTACAAAGTCGGAGAGAGACTGGATATCCTTGTTCATCATCTCGACTATCTCCTCCTCCGTGTGGCGACCATGTCCCTGATTCCATGTTTGTTTTTTATTATGTCGTCGAATCGTCCACAAAAAGATGTTGAAAGATGCACCCTGCGAAGATCCGGGTTAGAATGAGTTTTCAGCAACCAATGTTTGTCGTGAGGGGCGAATAATGGCAACGGGGGACCAGGCTAGCTGACTTGGTTGATGCATTTCATCGTAATTTATAGGTAAACGGTGCGATGGCCCTTCAAATCAACCAACTCGTCATCCTCAAGAGGCTTCCCGCCTTCAACCCATTAGTGGCCACAGTACTTCACCAGTGATCACTCATAAAGGGGATAAGTGCAGGGAGTCGACACTGTGTTCTGTAAACATCATAGATGTCCCAAAGGAAGCAAATGATATCCGAAGACTGGATGATCTGAAGTGATACGTGACCTTAATGCATGGAATGGAATTCACTATCTGCACATGACACCAGTTTTATAAGGATTGATGTGTTTAGAAATCATCCGTGATGCCAACAGAAAGCACTCCTTCGACATTAAGCTGAGACGCCGTGATATAACTGGCATACTGTTCAAAGTGGCGTTGTTCATTCGCCGAATGCGTACAATGCGTACAATGTGTCCCTAGCAGTCATATGGATGGAATTTGGTTCGTGAATTGTAAAGCCCTCCTCATTTATTCACTCATTAACTAAAACGCGTTGACGTACCAGTTCAGATGTTCCTACATCATGACCTGCATCGCCTGCGCTACCCCTTTGTCAGCGGGACTCAGATGCTTGTTCAGGTCTACCCCAAGCTTCTGGTTGAGGAATTGGATACACAGGTGAAGGTCTCATCCCATGGACGTTCTGTGGAAATGTGACCAGAAATGAAGAACTGTGTGGAGATCACACTAGGAATTATTAATTACAGAACATAATGCAGGATACTGTAAGTAATAGTATATTTCGTCATTCAATCGGGAGAGCGGAAGGTCGTTGTGCGCGTCATTCCAAAAGAAAGTGAACCTGCTTGGCGCTTGGCATTGAGGGGCTAAAAAGAGGACTGATCGGCTCGAAGTCATTAGACTGTGTATGAGTGTGGTATCCATGTTAAACTGCGACAAGGTATCCCAGAGGACTAGCACTATACAACCAGCATTAGTCACACAGACACATACATATTATATATGTACATATAAATATTATAAAAGTGCAATAATCTTGAACGTGAATCCGATTCATTCGACAAAGTGCTTATCTCAAGATTTCCAGAAGAAAAATCCGAAATATGGCTACTCTACAATGTTCTTTACTGACCTGAGGCCCGTTTCACAAAGCGATCGTTCCTCCAGAACTTACTTAAGTATGTGATCGCTTTGTGAAACGGGGCACTGGGCAGTGAGTGAATGTTTGATTTACTCCACATTTGGCTAAAAATACAAATGGATCACGGTGGTAATTAATCTGTCAGGCCAAGTGGTTGATAGTATGAGCAACGACCCAACCACAAGGATACACGCAATCAGCCAGGTCACAATGAAGATTTTAATAAGTTGACAACATTGCATGAGTTACTGTATAGCTACGAGTGTTATGTCAATCGCCCCCAACGTTTGTTCACTGACCTGGTAGGGTATCCTGGCCATCCGGAGGTAGGTCTCCAGCTTCACAGCAAATGGCGTCATGCTGGGGGCAAAGGGACCTCTACCGATCTGATGAAGGATCACTTTATCCCGGGGGTAATCCTTACGCTTCTCCTCTCTACACAGCGAAACAACATCATTACTGCAAATAACCACCCCCATACACCCAATCCCGTCATTTCCTGAACGCACATTACAAATTCAATTTTACTCGCAGGAATTATATCTTCCGTTTTGCTTGTGACATTCTCCCAACGAGAAAAAGACAATGATAACTTAAATTACAGCGTATTATATTTTCAGCACACTTTAGCGGACAGCCACGCCATTCGTCTCCACGATTGGTTAAAACCTCATCAATACCCAGTCAATTGTCATGGGTATCAAATTTATCTCTTCACCGGTTGACTGCGAGTGTATCAACTGCATTAGGTATACTATGAGGGACGAGAACATACTTTAGCGTGAGTATCCTTATGGCCACGAGCGACACGGCGGTTACTGCAGCACCTCCAAAAACATACAGAATTTTCTGTGATGTGTCGAGGTTTCTGAACGTCTCAAGAAAACTCTCCATTCTTGATGAGCCCGCGATACGTCTTCCCTCTCTTCGCGTCAGAGCTCAATGACAATGTGCATGCAAGGGAGGCAACTCCTTAGGGGCGCACGCTTGACTAGGTGCGGAATGTGATGCAAGTTCCTGTGTGTATTTAACACATATATAAGGAAAGGCAATATTATTTGTTATCATATTATTAATTTACTGATTATAAAATTAATTATAATTACAGATTCTAGACGCAGTTTCTCTGTCACGGCGAGAACACCATCAGTTGTGACCCCCTCCCAAACCACACACAGAACAGCAGTACAGGAAACGCTTACACGTGTATGTATTCCGTGTGCGACACACACATAACTTGGAAAGCGCACGTAAAATCCCAAACTCATCATCATCACTGCACTTTTATTGGGACGCGCACGACATAAGCAAACATGCTTACGGTACCAGAAAATTTTTCATGAAACATATCTAGTTTTTAGGATCCTCTTCGGTGGCGAACAGATTTCATAATCTCCCCATGAATCGTTTAGGTTTAGATTTCGAACACGCCTAAGGGAGGCCATTCTGCACAGTGTATTGCGGTACCTTAAACAAATGACTGAGCTATAAATGTTGCCCCCGAGCGTGCACGTGAGAGACCCGGGTTCGATTCCCCACACGGGTGCTTAAAATGGGACAACACGATGGCTGGAATAATGTTTAAAACGCATAAGTTCCCAATCACTTATATCTAATAAAAATGTAAACAGTGAGTGAGATTGAGATTCACTACCAATTTCCTCTTATAATAAACTGTTACCATTGGTATCCCCAAGCACCAATACTCAACATGCTCACTGGGCCATTGTCCATGTGGTCATACGCGGTGATTGTTAACATCACACATCCTATGTACAATCAGACAACATGACGGTATAGTTTATTGCAATACCCCCGTTACCCGTGAAGATTCAGAATTTCAGGATAATGAATTTGAATCCCAGCGTCGCCCTGATCACGACTCCCCTATTGTCAGCACCTTGTCCATGCCTTGTGGCCACAGTAATAAACGTAACTGAAATATTGTCCAAAGCGGCGTAAAAACCAACTCACTCGCTCACCTGGAGGTACATTCTTTTGCTGGGTAGTGTTGTATTTCGTGGATTTTATCATTAACCCCGCCCCACCACATCTAGAGTCAAGTATTAGGTCTTTTGTTGTAATATCTCATTCCGAGGCAAGGCATATCGAAGATTTTCTAAGGCAGAATGGCGTCTTCAGCATTCAAAATGTTTCGTAAGAGCCGGGTAATGATCATCGACTGGCCAACATTTGTTTCCTGACTGACTATAGTCGTTACTCATGCTGTCAACGACGGAACTGCTTTGTTCAGACTATTTACAACCTATTTATAAGCCGTTTTGGAATATTGCCGACAGCGATGTAAAACAACGTTCCGTCACTATCTCTCGCCACACTGGATAGATTCACTCAATGTGTCTATATTGACCCGTGTTCATAATGCGTATGATATTGTTGACTGATGTAAATGATGCGTGCAGCATTGTTGACTGCTGTAAATTAAGCGTTCACTGTTATTGACCACTATATAATGATGCGTGTACTATTGTAGACCACTGTTCATAATGTGTGCACTATTGCTGACCAGTTTCGATAATACGTGTGCTAATGTAGACCCCTTTTCATGATGCATGTGCTATTGCAGACCACTTTTCATTATGCGTGTGCTATTTTGGACCACAGCTCATGATGCGTGTGCTAATGTTGACTGCTGTAAATGATGCGTGTACTATTGCCGACCACTTTTCATATTGCGTGAACTATTGTAGACCACTGTTCATACTGCGTGAACCATTGTAGACCACTGTTCTTGATGCGTGCACTATTGTAGACCACTATTCATAATGCGTGAACTATTGTAGACCACTGTTCTTGATGCGTGCACTATTGTAGACCACTGTTCATAATGCGTGAACTCTTGTAGACCACTGTTCATACTGCGTGAACCATTGTAGACCACTGTTCTTGATGCGTGCACTATTGTAGACCACTGTTCATACAGCGTGAACCACTGTAGACCACTGTTCTTCATGCGTGCACTATTGTAGACCACTTTTCATATTGCGTGAACTATTGTAGACCACTGTTCATACTGCGTGAACCATTGTAGACCACTGTTCTTGATGCGTGCACTATTGTAGACCACTATTCATAATGCGTGAACTATTGTAGACCACTGTTCTTGATGCGTGCACTATTGTAGACCACTGTTCATAATGCGTGAACTCTTGTAGACCACTGTTCATACTGCGTGAACCATTGTAGACCACTGTTCTTGATGCGTGCACTATTGTAGACCACTGTTCATACAGCGTGAACCATTGTAGACCACTGTTCTTAATGCGTGAACTATTGTAGACCACTGTTCATAATGCGTGAACTATTGTAGACCACTGTTCATACTGCGTGAACTATTGTAGACCACTGTTCATACTGCGTGAACCATTGTAGACCACTGTTCTTGATGCGTGAACCATTGTAGACCACTGTTCTTAATGCGTGCACTATTGTAGACCACTGTTCAAAATGCGAGTACTATTGTAGACCACTGTTCATCCTGCGTGAACCATTGTAGACCACTGTTCTTGATGCGTGCACTATTGTAGACTACAGTTCATAATGCGTGAACTATTGTAGACCACTCTTCATCCTGCGTGAACTATTGTAGACCACTGTTAATACTGCGTGAACCATTGTAGACCACTGTTCTTGATGCGTGATCCATGGTAGACCACTGTTCTTAATGCGTGCACTATTGTCGACCACTGTTCAAAATGCGAGTACTATTGTAGACCACTCTTCATCCTGCGTGAACCATTGTAGACCACTGTTCTTGATGCGTGCACTATTGTAGACCACTGTTCATACTGCGAGTACTATTGTAGACCACTGTTCATAATGCGTGTACTATTGCCGACCCCTGTTCATGATGCGAGTGCTATTGCTGACCAATGTCCCCAATGTTACAGCGACAGCACGGAGACGTGGCTGCTGACCACCTCGGGTCAGGACAGCTCCAGGGGGCACCTGGGTGGTCAACATCAACGTGGAATACTTCCAGATGGAAGACCACAGCTCCTGCGCGTATGGCTGACTACCTTGACGTAATTGACGGTGAGCGTCCGCTTTTGTGATCTGTGTTAAGAATCACAAGTTCATGTATTCACTTGTATGAAAAGGAATAACTATTCACAAGGGAAATCGTAACAAGGAGCATATGATTGATTTGATAACTGATAATCGATTATATATGACGTGAAGATCTTTACTATTGTATGTGGCTATGTGCATGGCAAACCAATTGTCGAGATAGAGATAGATGTCAGCAGGGTCAACGGGAAAGACAAACCTGAACTATTATGTCTCTTTCAAACTGCTATATGTCTCTCCTAGGCAATGGGGGCAGTCGGGTAGCCTAGTGGTTGAAGCGTTCGCTCGTCACGACGAAGACCCAGGTTCGATTCCCGACACGGGTACAATGTGTGAAGTCCATTTGTGGTGTTCCCCGACGTGATATTGGTGGAATATTGCTAAAAGCGGCGTAAAACCTCACTCACTCACTAACTCCAAGGCAATGGCTCCCGTGGGGATTCGGAGCGGAGTTGGCCCCTGTAAACGGTGCTGGTCGTAAGATGCGGGTTAATGGATTTCATGGTCATACTGACTTGGTTGATTGCGTTGTTTCGTACCCCGACGACGTGGCTCGTTGCTTATATTTTTTTCCGGTCCAGATTCGATTATCTGGAGGCCGCAGTCATATCGCTAGATATCGTTAAGCAACAAACCAACATTAATAAGTCAAGAACACAAAAATGTTGCATAATTTAAATTTAATTTATTTAGATTTATTCTTACTTCATTAAGCGTATTATAATGTGTATATGGGCTATATTCAGTCAAATTAAACATTACTTCATGTTCATCTGAGGTCAATCCAATAAGTTATCTTGGCCAGCAATGGAATGATTCCAAACTGAAACATTCGTTCAAGTGGCTATCATATGCAACAACACACTCTTCCGTTGGTCCTGAGTCTGTTTGCAAGTTTATCCTTTGCTAGTTTCTTACATATAAAAACGAAAGGTGTTAGCATCATTATTGAGTTCTTTTTAACAGCGTCCTCTCTATGTTCACTATATAGTGAAATTGCGCAACATAAACATCGTCCTCTCTATGCCAACTATACTGTTGAGTTACGCAACATCCGTAAATGAGAGTTTCACGCAATAATTTGTGAGTAGCGAAATAACCCGAGAGGACCCGAGTGGATCCGAGTGACATTGTATGTTTGTTTTGCAGCTAACACAAGTTCTCTGATTGATCGATTATGTGGTGACTTGTCAGCTCCGGATATATCCTTCTCGTCCACAGGACCTGACCTCAAGCTGTACTTCAACAGTGACTACAGTGTCACGTACAAGGGATTTGTCATTAAATACTGGGGTATGTAGAGTGTGCGACACGCGGTGGGGAACCTGTATGTTCCTGTAGCGTCCAGTGGCACTGGGGGTACGGATGACAAAGTCGTTTGGGGCGCCGCAATACGCGTTGTGATGCTGCGACCTCAGAGCGAGCCAGAAACCTTTGCTTGCGTGTTCTGGTAACGTTTCTAGGTTGATCAGCAACCTACCCGTGTTCCCACATTAAACTGTCAAGTCGTGATATGACTGTAACATTGTTCATAGCCTCTGGTTTCAAATGTTTTTAATTTCGTGTTTCTGTTTAATTGTTGTGATTTTTACCATATCGGAAAGAGAACCCTTTCTTCAATTACGTGCAAACGACATTGATATAAAATTCGGATTGGTTACAAGACAAAATAAAAATATATTTACTGCTATGATAAAGGAAATTTACACAATGTAAACTACGTTTATAACAAACACGCTTATAACGAACTGACGGACAAAACGAACTGTTTTGGTCCCGTCCATTTTGCTTTATATACGCTGTATATACGTTGTTTATATGCGCAAAACGAACTTCGGTTATAACGAACTAAAATAAGTGGTCCCTTTACGTTCGTTACCACCGTGGTTTACTGTATGTTGAAATGAGACTCGCGATGATCAGAACGATTTGAAAATAACTTTTGCTGCTAATATAATGTTTTTCGTCCTTCAGCATCTTACAGCAGCTTTGCCGTAGTTACCCAGGCGCCCAAATCTGACCGTAAAGAAACCAACAACAACGTGATTGGTTGGGTACTAGGGGCCTTAGGGGTGATGATAATCATGGGCTTGGTTGTCTATATCGTGTGTCGCCAGAAGTACCAGAAGAAGTCCACATCGAAAAGAATCAACAAGAAAGTATTCATTACAAAGCCCGACGGATCACTGGGACAGGTCTTTAAGACCTCCATAAAAATCAGACCAAGTACTAACCTCAGAGGTAAAGCTGCATCGATGAACCTTCAGTTCCCCAGTGCATCCTCCATATCAGGAGCTGAACCCAAACCTGGTGTCTCCAGGAAGCGCCCCCCTATCGACTCAGCGTCTGTGGGGGGAGATCAAATACCGGCGGCGTTCAGATACGTCGACCAAACGTACCCACCTGGATACGGATCAACTCCGTATTGAGCACCAATGTTAGACATGCCTACACAACGTACCCACCTGAATACGGATCAACTCCGTATTGAGCACCATTGTTAGACATGCCGACCCAACGTACCCACCTTGATGTGGATCAACTCCGTATTGAGCACCAATGTTAGACATGCCGACCCAACGTACCCACCTGGATACGGATCAACTCCGAATTGAGCACCAATGTTAGACACGCCGACCCAACGTACCCACCTGGATGTGGATCAACTCCGTATTGAGCACCAATGTTAGACATGCCGACCCAACGTACCCACCTGGATACGGATCAACTCCGAATTGAGCAGCAATGTTAGACACGCCGACCCAACGTACCCACCCGGATGTGGATCAACTCCGTATTGAACACCAATGTTAGACATGCCGACCCAACGTACCCACCTTGATGTGGATCAACTCCGTATTGAACACCAATGTTAGACATGCCTACCCAACGTACCCACCTGGATACGGATCAACTCCGTATTGAGCACCAATGTTAGACATGGCGACCCAACGTACCCACCTGGATGCAGACCACTTCCCTATTGAGCACCACAGTTTTTGTCACATGTTTTAAGCTATATATCCTTAGAGACGCTCTTAGTTTCGACGTCATGTGCTACTCTTGACACTGAAATGACTAGTATGTAACTGGTCATGAAATATAACGTTTTCATTTTGTATGTATTTTACACATTTGCCTGTATGTGTTGGATTATGAGTAACAATGATTTATACATCATTACAGACATTTCATATTCCTAGTAGATTAAGCAAATAACTTTCAGCGTCAGAATTTATTCCATCCATCTGGGGTAAACACCAGATCTTTATTCCAAACACATATGTCATTCAAATATTTACAAATAGTTGGGGAAATGCGTATATAGTGGCAAATGCTCAAGCGCTGTGCAGTATTATTCCCTTTGGCTGTTAATTTGTATTGATAAACCTGTAAACCACATAAAGAACGCAGATCTTCCATTGAGGTGGATCAAACAGCAGGAATGCCGACATTCAACAATCATTTTGCATTTTACCATGGCGGATCTTAAACCTGACCTTCAAACTTGACAGTAATTGCCTTAACTTATGGAGGTTAATCGGAGGGTCGTTTCCGACACCATGCTTGTGGCGTCCAGTTCGATGTAATTCTTGTTTGTTTTACTTTGATGTTTGGATTTATGTGAAGCACAAGTGATAATACAACAAACTGTTCATGTTATTTATATACCTTCGTGTGTTTATACTTAATTTTTCTCAAAGCAAGGCTTACTGTGATTATCCTGTTTTGGCGTTCCTTATATTCATTTATTGAAAACTACATTGAACCTTTCTGCTACCTTGTATTTGGGTGCTTACATTTCAGTTTATTGTGGCATCTTTTAGGTTACAACTTCCATTGATAAATAAGTTATCAAGAACGTAATTCGTGTCGCCTAACGTTTGTACAGGACCCAAACCCTGAACGCAGTAAGAAGTGCATGCAATGATTTGCGTACGATTCCAGATATGAACTTACTTTGGGTGTATATTTTCTATACACCTACACATATGAAACATTGGATCATCATACGTTATTGTCGTTATTGCAATATAAGCTATGACCGGATGTGCTGAAATTTTCAGAGGTTAATACCTAAGTAAACATTTACTTTTCTAATTTCGATTTTTATTCTCATGGCTTCGAACATTTGGACTATTTTTTTAATGTGCACGGGTTTGAAATATGGGCATTCCCTGTGCTAGGAAACACTTCTGTTTCTAAATTTTCAAATGTTTTAGTGCCTGTGGTGTTTCGCATGTATTTGACTAGTTTTCATATTACCGAATCTAAAACAAGATGATCATATATTTTTACACCATCTCACAAATTCGGGCTCACATTGTCTTAATTTTACACATGCTGATTCAGTTGGCATCAATGCTCCAACAATCTCAATAACCTGAAAGCGCTAAGGGCCTGACTAAGCAAAACACTGTTATGCAAGCTGACACGTTTCCATCTGGTCAATAGCACAAACACTTCCCTTTATCCGGTTGCACGTTCATCAGACACCTCGGCCAAATGATGCATAATTTTCAAGCGTTTGTCAAATGGACCTCGGATTACACCTTCATTTCCAAGCGTGAACACTTGTGGGAAAAATACTGTCCTTTCGTGTGGTGAATAAGCGTTCCATGTCCCCAGTCAGTGCGTTGCGAGAATTGTATTTGGTGTACTGACTTCCAAGAAGATTACTTGGAAGCTGCCAAGAAATAACGAACGTGAAAAGTGGTATGCTTTCCTTTTTATTATGACTGGTAGAAGGCGTTTATCGGTTTTGCAGCATTCATTATCAGGCTGTTGTATTGCCCTTAAAATGATCCACGAGTACAGAATAAGGATCACATTCAGGTGTTTGGAATGGTTGAAAATTAATAAGATACATGACACTATGCAATGCAATGATTGAATCAGTATCTCAGGACGGATTTGTCACATACTGTATTGGCCTTGCATAGAACAGATATGGTTGAAACTGCTCAGTGTCACATATTGATATCACCTTGTTAACATATACTTCATAGCCAAGCTGGACCTAGGTGCCACATGTCATTTTTACCATTGATTTTCTTGTCCAGACTCGAGTATCTACTGTCCCTTATGGTACAAGTATGCATGTAGTTGGGATATTGGTCACTGCAGGGTTGAGCATCACTCACTCACTCTTGTGAAAAGAATTTCTTTATTACAGATGAAAGCAAACGTATTTATTTATCATTCTTAAACAAACGTAAAAATTACAATCATGTTCATAGGTTAAGGCGATAAAAGTAAGCAAGAATCATGTGAAAAATAATAATATATTATTGCTTGCACACATCATTTGAGATGAGATGGTACATCAGACTGGTCTTGTGGCTCAGTTTCTAGCTTTGAAGGCAATGGGTGTTCAGTGAGAATTGCCTAACACATTGATGTACATGTTTATCTCTTTGTACATTTTAGTTTCATGTAAGAATGAAATTAAACCCCTGACAACATGGATATATAATTAAATTTGTTTTTGTTTTTTAATTTTGGATTGAAAAGCCATCTGTAAGTTTCAACCTTTATCTCACTAGAAAAAATAATATAAACGAAATTTGGGTAATTTCAAAAACGTGTGCTAAACACTCCTCTCTCCTACATGTGATATGCCTTACTTAATTCTACAGGAAAAATAACATGGTAACACGCAATAGAAAACACACTATTAGACCTGTGACTCAAATGATATCCGAAAGCTTCAAATGTCTGAAACTCCATATCCTTGACACACCTGTCCTGCAGTCATGAAGATGTACGGTTTAACTGATTCCAGTATAGCAACCGAAGACTATGTACATGTAAGTCGAAACCTCTGTCACAACCTCTTGTGGGCTCAGCATAATGTCACAGAGGAGAAACAAAACGGTAACAATATTAAAACATAGACCTACCATAACACATGCATCGTAAACTTTCGATATATCAGGTTATTATGGAGAAGACAATACGAAGGGGAAGATCAATCCAAGCACAACACACTACAACCTCAACAATAAACCACAACAAAACATTTAAGGAAATGAATGATAAAATGTATCTCCAGGTTTCATTGAAGTAAAATGTAAGAAAGTAGAAAATTTAAAAGGTCAGATCAATTGTGAAACATCTACAATCCCATAGATCATGCTCCTACATCTAAACAACCAACTACACAATACGTACAGCACGTTCAAGATTTTGCCAAAACACCTCCTGACCTTCCCGATCATCTGTGTACTCTACGTAGGAGTCTTGACGCATCAGCTCCACAATATCAGGGGGCAGGTCCCTCACAGGGATATTCTCCAGGACTACCACCAGCAGTGTGTTTCGTCCAGTGTAAATACTCTCCATTTTGGCCATCTCCACTTCGTACTTACACCAGTAGCTCCTCAAGAAATTCCTTGACAGGACGATCACCGTCCTCCTGCTTGATTTCACAGCGTTTAGAATGTTGGCAGCAATAGCTTCCCCCACGAGAAAGTCTCGATGATGGATACATAGCCGAATTCCATGCTGTCCCTCCAATATCTGCCTCATGTCCTCAACAACAAACCCACGGTCCTCGTCAGCATAGGAAATGAAGGCATCAAACTCAAACTGTGTCCCACCCTCTTCTTCCTCCCCAGCAGCAAGGTAACCCCTGTGTTTCATCTGTATGAGATAGTAAAGATACCTCAGTTTCCATCTGAACCTGTACACGATACCTGTTATGCACAAACAGAGAACTAGCATCACAAGACAGAGAACCCCGATAGAAATACCTAGGTAGGAGGAACACTTTTTGTCAAGCTCGAAGATGATTTGATGGATGTCTTTCAAGAATAGTCGTCTGTTGCTGTCATCAAGGCAGCTGATGTCATCAAGATTATGTAATTTCGAAGCATGATCTCTCATCCATTTTAATGAAGTCAAAGTTAAGCAATTGCACTTGAGAGGGTTGTCCTTAAAGTACAGCTGAAAATCCCTACTTACCATGCAACTGACTTGATAACGCAACAGAAGTGGAACTTCGTCAAAGGTGTTTCTTGATAAATTTATAACTGTCATACGAAAATTGTTTATTTCTGTATTCCATGACATCAAATAATTGGAATCAATTCTTATGGTTTTAAGCAGATTTGTGTTCTTGAAGATTAGCTTTGGAAGTGAACTTATCTTATTATTTGATAAGTCGAGATATTCTAGCAAAGGCATTTCACCAAATGTGTCATTCGTCAGGGTATAGCCAAGGAAATTGGAACTGAGGTCAAAATGTTTTAAAGATGGAAAGTATGTAAACACTCCCTCTGCTAGGTATTCACAGAAATTATTAGAAGCATCCAATTTTTCCAGGTGTGTTAGTCCTATGATAGGACCCGTCCACCTGGTAAAATAATTAAATGATATATCTACTTCACGAAGTTTGTTTTCGCCGATTTCGAAACGTACAACTTCATAGGCCATTTTGGAATGACTAACATCAACAAATGTAACATTTGGAGGCACATAAATTGTAACATTGTGTCTGGAAGGTTTGTTATATCCATACAGCTGCAGAAGGTTACGTGAATGAAGGTTTGCGGTATCAAAGAAGGAAACATACGATGCCCCTTGATAGGAAGCATCCAGCCACTCCAAATATGTCAGCATGGACAATTCCATCATGTAAAGACCAAACGAAAGGTGATTATCTCTGATAGATATTCTTCTGAGAGATGTTGGAAGGTTAATCATTATACTTCTATCAATTATTTCTATTCTGTTTCCTTCAATGTACAATTCCTCTAATTTCATATTCTTCAGATATTGAGTATCTTTAGCTGACAACATAGTACTAAGCCCCATTATTCGGCATATTCTGTTCACGTTTAGCACTCTCAGAGACGAGTTCTGCAATCCATACATAGCTTGTCCCATTTTTCGAATTCCTAGGTATCTGTTATGTGACATTTGGAGGTGAATAAGATTCTTTAACACTTCAAAAGATGCTAGTTCAATGTCAACCAACAGACAGTAAGACACATCCAGATTCTGTAAGTGAGGCACATTCTCAAATGTGTCATTCCTCAAGTAACGCGTGTAACATGTCCTAAATTTTCCCCCAAGTGACAGTGACCAGAGCTGCTTAAGACTCTTGCATTTCCTGCCAAAATATAGTTCTTTCGGCCCATCAATGTGTAGTTCTTGTAAAGATACTAAGTCTTCGAATGCACAACCCGGATAAGTATCAGATCCAAATATATTCCCAGTGTGAATGTCTTTCAGCATATAACTGGAATTTGATCTATCTTTGAATACATCTTTTAGATGTTGACGTTCTAATGTTAGGTCTAAACTAGCATCGTAAGGGCGAGATTTATAATTGTTGGTAATAAAGAGCTTTTTAAGTTTTGCCTGATTTGTTAACAGGCCGTCACGATAGATCTCTGGAAATAAATAATTATACTTAAGGTACAAAATCTCAAGGTTTCTTAGTTGTTGAAAGGCATCAAGTTCAATAACTCTCAGACCATTGGAAGATACATCCAATCTGGTAAGATTTGGATAACTGAGAGACCCATTTTCCAAATGATCGATGTTGTTTCCTGAAAGATTTAGCACAGTTATGTTGGGTAACAGATGTAATGGGACCTTGTCTAGTTTCTGATATGAACAATCAGCTATTATTTTTTCTTCAGAAAAAGAACAGCGACACGGCTTACACGGATCTTGACTCGCATCATTACGTGCAGTATGACTTGCATCTTGACTTGAGTCTTGATTTGCCTCCGGACTTGCACCTTGACTTGCCCCATGACTTGCACCTTGACTTGGCTCATGACTTGCACCTTGACTTGGCTCATGACTTGCACCTTGACTTGGCTCATGACTTGCATCCTGACTTGGCTCATGACTTGCACCTTGACTTGCATCGTAACTTGCATCTCGACTGTCAGTTTGGAATGATGCCATAGCAGTCCCTAAGACTGGGTGTACCAGTAGCAGGAGCAGCACAAGAAGGTTCTGGGAATAGCATGTACGTAATTTAATTGTTTGCAAACATTATTCATACACATAAACGTGAAATGTGTAATTGAGGAAACAGGATGTAAAATTATTTGACCAATTTTTGGATGGTTTGACAATGTGTCGAAGTGAGTAAAACAAAAGATTACCCCTTACGTTTTTAGTTTGTATTAACTATACCATGAAACTATTGTGAGTATGTGACACTCGAAGTTTTTGCAGTTCTTTCCTGATGGGCAAACTTTCCAGATTTAGAGCATATGTTTGGAAGCGCTACCTGAACAAAGATTTTATCATGTTACAGGCCGCGTTCGAATCCCTTCATGGGTACAAAATGTGATACCAATATCTGGTGTCCCTAGCCATGATACTCCTGGAATGTCTAAAAGCGGTGTCTCACTCACTCACTCACTCACTCACTCACTCAAAAGAGCCGTATAAAATCAAATCTTACCAAGAATGCATGAGATCCATTTTCATTAACATATTTTGCATAGCGTGAAAAATAGCGTGACTCCCATCAATCTTTTTGCTATATATTGTCCAGTGTACAATACCTCTGAACGGGTCCCAGATTTGTTTCTAGCTTTTTCCGAATTATGCCAAAGTGTGAAACGTCTTAGACTTGTTTCAGTTTCTTCCCACTTAAAGCTGACACATCGGCCGTGATATAACTGAAATATTGTTCAAAGTGACGTTAAACTCACTCACTCACCTGAACGGGCCCCATCGCCAGATCTTGACCTGCTCTATTCAACGTTCTGCATCGTTATGAAATATAAGGAAAACTGACTATCTAACTATTGGGTAATTTGTGACAGTTCACACGACTCTTTCCAAATTGTAGATTAGATTGCAGTTGACACTTTCCTGGCCCATCTCATACACAGTCATAAATCATTAAGAGGAAACTAGTTGTGTGTAGGATAGTGTAAGGAACATTCTCGCAACCTCGATCTTTCGAATCAAGCTTAAAATGCCAAAAGTTCTAGATCCCTTACAGCATTCCATAGTTATGTACACATTACGTACGCTATAAATATATAACACATCAACATAACTATAATTAAGGGAAATATTGACATAAGTAAGTGAGTTAACACCAATGTGAACATTGTTTCAGCTGAATGATGGCGTGTCAGCTTGCTGTGGGTGGTAAGTCATGTGATGCAGTGATGCTGGTTTTAACCGTTTACCACTTTTGGTTAAACCCAAGAGTACAAGGATCTCGCTGACAAGCCAAGAACAATAATCAGGGCGAACCTTGGATTCGATCCCACGGACGACGGTCTATGTGTAGTCCGAACGCACAAGTTAAAGACGATAAATGATTGTGTTTAAATAAGAAGATAATTATCAAATGACCTTTATGGCATGAAGAAAATCAATTCAAATCTCTACCAAAAAGAAAGATTACCGTTCTTTCCCATATTGGCATCTACATGTATGTGCTATAAAATAGGCAATGAACGTACACTGCAGGAAACGACCATCCACAGTATATTTTAAAATATGGCTGTGCTAATTCACGATGTTCCCTATAAGGTTTAGAGCTCATCATCTAGGTTGATCAGGTAAAGTCATGAGTCATTTGTAATATACACTATGTCTTTAGACTCGCCGGCCCTGTTTAGAATCATTTTAATGGTTAATAGTTAATGTCATTTTTTAAAACTACGATCAGTTTGAATGAACATCATCTTGTTCTCGTCGCTATATGGCTGAAATAATGCCGATGCGACGTTAAATTTTGATTTACTGTACACACGATAAATTAGTTGCGCAAGAGGAGTTGTTGCAGTTCTAGGTTGTTTCCTGCGTTGTACTTTAACTGCCCCAACTTATCGCGAGATTGAGAACTTCTCCTACTTAAAACAAAGTGCGGCTAAAATTGTTTCCTTAAGAAATGGACCACCTCGTGGTCTAGTGGTAGAGCGTTCGCCCGGAGAGCGGAAGGTGCGGGGTTCGATCCCCGGAGGCGTCATACCAAAAGACGTTAAAAGATGGTATTTGTTGTTACCCTGTCTGGCGCTCGGCATTAAGGGGCTAAAACAAGGACGGGTCGGCTCGGAGTCAGTATACTGTGTCTGAGTGGGGTATTCATGTTAAAATGCGGCATGGTATCTAGCACTATAACTCGGCATCAGTCCGGACTAGTACAAGCAGCCATACAAACACTAACGTACATGCACGTCGCTATATAAGTGCAATAATCTTGGACGCGACGTTAAACCCCATTTCACCTCACCTCACCTTAAGAAATGTTCTTGTGAAGGGATCATGCAAAACAAATGAAGGATCTGTTCTCATGTTAAACTGATGAAGGCGTTTGATCACATGTACATGTATCTGTTGATTGTGTTGGTTCTGTGTTTGGTATAAATGAAATACTTATGAAAGAAAAGGTAACAAGTGATTTAGCTTTTTGTGATAAGTTCAAATAAATGGCAAATTACTGAAGCAGCATTGGGACAAAGACATGCCAATGTATGCATATCTTACAGAGCAGAAAATTCGTGGCCAGCTCCGGCGACTAGAGTTGTACATGCGCCGTCAACCGGCCGCGGGTAAGCCAACTGCCAACACTCGTCAGGCACCTTTGCATGCAGCCTCAGTTCCAACAGTAGCATACCCGAAATTGTAATTGAACGTTCGCATTATTATCCCTAAATAACCTGATGTAGCTGCCACTGATGACCATAACATGGACATACAAAATGAAATCCCTGATGTCGGCCTCGAAGATTTTGAGTTCTCTCACGATTCCGTCCCCTCTTCTGTCGATGAGTGAGTGAGTGAGTGAGTTTGGTTTAACGCTGCTTTTAACAGTATTCCAGTTATATCACGGCGTTTCAGCTTAATGTAGGAGGAAAGCCCGAAGTGATGCAGGTCTCAGACGTTTACCACTTCGGTGAAACCCACGAGCACGGATATGGTGCTGACAAACCTAGAAACATAATCGGGGCGAACCAGGATTCGAACCCACAATAATAGGTTTCAGGCGTGCCAAAGAGACGCAACTCTGCACAGCGAATCGCAGCGACAACTGGGCCACCCGTGCCCCCGTATTTGTAATGAGTTGTGTTATGACTTAAACAACAATCAGAAAAGTAAGGGAGTTCTTACTTTACTTAGAGATCAATGAGAGCAGGGGTCACCAAGAACAGCACCAATCTGATGATCTGAGTAGTAGACTTGAGTCTGGAATCCGACAGCACTGGCATGATCAGTAAACAACAAGTCCAGTGTAGCAACAAGA